GAGCCATGAATTGAATTCTGTACAAATCTGTTTAATGAATTCTGAAACACAAACCACTGAAATACACACTTTTGAAGATATTGTTTTAATCAGTTTGTTTGAATCTATTAAGGAAGATTTTCGTTTGGAATTGGCATATCTTTGCAACAGGATTTCACTAGATGTTTTAACTAAATTTGTTTGTTTTTGTGCAAGTTACGGAACAGAAGTTATTTCCAGACGCTTTAATCTAGTTTATTATGAATTTGGTTTTTGCGAATTGTATCGATTCTTATTGCATTTTGACAAGATTGGATACAATTATTACTCCAATAAAAACTTGGGAAGGAATTTTATGGCCTTTTTAATCTACGATCTTAATTTAAGTATCAATATGCTTGAGAAATTACAGCAAGACGATCTTGACGAAAAGAGTTTCGCACGATTGTCGAAATTTTTTAATCTTGTCAAATTCAAAAATAAGTTTCCAGGATTGTTAAAACAGTTTAAACTAGGAGAATAATCAGCAGTGCCGTCTTTGGTCGAGCTGAGTCGAAACTCTACTCGCGAGTTTATCATCTCCAAGTTTAATGTGAAGAAAACTGTACAGTTTTTTACTGTTATTAATAATATTCCTATTCCCAATATTGTGAAACAAATTATCACTTATGAGAAAGAAATCTATACTTATATTTTGTTGTATGTTGTGACGTATTAATGTGAAATTCCATATTTGTACAAACTGTACTCTAATCGGTACCTCCTTGGACCCGACCACTTTCGAAAAAGAATTTCTAATCTATAAGCTTCTTATTCGAGGAAAAGTTAATGATATGGAAAGCAAGTAAACGCTTTAATGCTTTAAAACTTTCTAAATTTTGCATGACATCATTTTCATTCCTTATTCTGGTGCCTGTGTGACAACTTGTGAAGCAAACCAAAATGAACTTCCTAAAAATTTCCACTTGTTTTAAGTTTCTAGGAATAAAAACAAAATAATCGCAAAGTGTAACATATGTGTTGGTGCCAATTCCGGTTTAATCAGTGGGTCTCCAAAGCAACTCCAAATTTCCTAAGCCATGTAAAGGTATGTGCAGAATCCATTACTTATTTAGTTTAACATTTTAAGTATGTTTACTATTATTGGACAAGTTTTTACCATGAAAATTTGTCATACTGTCTTCAATGCCGGGTCCGGCAACTCTTACGCGCAGACTCAAAGTTGGGATTTCTATTAAATAAAGTTTATCGAACAAAAGTATCAAATACCCCTAGAACAGAATTTATAGTGATGGCAAATCCAAGGAATGGTGTCTTTCTTGGAGTCTCTCGTAAAAATCATTCAAATGGTCTCCAGTCCTGCTTATTTTGAATTTTTGAAGGCCCATGATAAACGAGAATGTCCAGAATTACTTTAATGTCTGCTGAATAGTTTCGTAATAACTTAAGCATGTGACATACATCAAATAATCCAAACACTTTCTTTAGTGTATCGGATAATTATTATTATTAATTATTAATAATTATTATGGTTCCAATTGTTGCAGTAATGTATTTTTCCATATTTATTTATCTCCCGCACAATTTACCCGATGCTTGGAATTTTCAAATGCCTATTAAGATTTAAGGCAATCAAAAAGCTGCAAAATTTTTATTTTTAGTTAATAACGGTCAAATACAGTGAAAATTGTCGACAATTTGGACTAATGCAGTATTTTCGCTGCAATTCCCGTATAATAATTTAAAGAAAAAACAATTTTTGAACATACAATTTTGTTAAATTGTATTATTTAAATTTTTCTGTGGAAATAGTCTGCCAAAGAACTCTTTGTGTAGCAAATTCGCGCCACGGTTGTCACCGTCGAAGCATCAAAATGGCGTCATCTTCTATCTGCTTTTATTTCCTGCGCCTAATCGTGCGCAAACAGCTTAAAGCCAGTATATTTATCTGGGAATGTAGTTTTCTCTCTTTGCCAGTGTTGCCAGACTTTTTTGCGATGGCACAACCACATTAAAAAAATGTCGCCCAAAAGTCGCATATTAAAATTCTTGACCATTTAATTACCAGTATTTTTAATTTTACATGAACACAGTAATACAAAAAAAAACACTTTCCTACTAAATACTTACTAAATATTTATTTATATTCATCTATCATCTCTACTACATATGATAAGTTGTTCCGCTCATCTTCATCTTTATCATAAATATTTCAATTAAAATTTAACATGTTCTGAGGGGGATGAAAAATTTTACAACATATCTCAACACTAGAAAAGTACGTAGTTTAGTAATAGTTTAAAAGCAGCCCAAAAAGAGCATTGCGACATTCACGTAAAAAATGTCGCAAAAAGATACAGAAAATGGCCCAAATTTCGACAAATTGCCCAATCTGGCAACACTGCTGTTTGCGGCGCAGTCGTCGACAGCATGCAGCATGTCGTCAGTTCTCAGTGTTCTCAACTTCTTAGTTCTGTAGTAGTCAGTACTAGAGGTGGAAGTCCGAATCTGTGGTGGTTTGACAAGTGAGACAAAAGGTGAATTCGTTTAAAGGGGAGACTTCTAATCTTGGTGTGTGTTTTCCTACCCAATACGAGGTAGAGATTTATGATAATTTCCATATCAACGGTAGGGTAAGTCGTTTAATGATTATTATTTAGTTACTTTCATTTAATTATTTCACATTGTTGATATCATAGATCAAAAAACCGTGTGAGTACTGAGTGTACTCAACGTGTTTTAAACGTAATATTTATACATAAAATTAATATTTTCTACAGAACTTACCTATTTTGATTTTAACATTATTCACAATTTTTATATCACAAACAGATTAAAATGAAATGACGGATTGAGACTACTTTTTTATGTTGTCAAAGATGGGAGCTATCAATGTGTTGTATATAATGTTTGTTATGGTTCACACTGTTTTTGTTTAAATAAATGTATGTACATACATAGCTTCTAATATTAGTCTCTTACTCCAAATTGATTCCTTGCACTGTGGTGTTCATTTAAATTTTTGCAGTGGTACTCGTATTTGTGTTGCATCACAATGCCCACAATCGATTTTATATATTATATTAGTTTATCAATTTATTAATTTTATCTTTAAGATTATGTAATTCACCTAGTGCTATTATTGTGAACTAGTAGTTTAATGTTATAATTGCTGCCAATAAATTGGGATAAATCTTGTTATCATAGGGATAAAAAGATATGTAGTTTACTCTAAAAGTGAACCAAACAGTCTTTTGTTTTCTGCTGAAGGGTTAGGGAGGAAAACAATAAAATCCTTATTAGGGAAAACTAGTGACGTAAAACCTGATGAGAAGCAGAATACTGAATCAGTGGTAACAAAAATGTAACGACTCAAATATTAAAATTTATTTTAAAAATGTTTAACAAATATTCGTTTCTATAAAATGAAATAATAGAAATACAGTCCATGTAATTAATATTCTTCGGATAAAGAACTAAAATGTTTATTAATTGCTCTTGTTACCATCACTGAGAGTTTCAACGTGGGAAAAACAATTCTTCCAACTGTTAGGTTTAGTCTGTTGATTCATTCCCACATTACCAAAACAACTTATTCACTGCGTTTCTTTCAGTGTTTGTCATAGTATTGTTTTGCCTGATTCCAAATTAACTATATTGAATTAAATTGACAGTGATAAACGCAAAACCTTGTGCCCTGCTGGTTGTCATCGATAAGATGCTATCTTTTTTATTAGCCCTGCAAGAAGCAACATTTTTTCTTCAATAGTGTCTCTTTAAACGTTATGTCATTTTCACGAAGCCATTCGATTATTTCCGCCTTTTTCCAACTTGCTGTCGATTACTTATTTTTTTTATCCTCGAATGGTAGGATGTCTTATCCAATATGATAAGTATCATATAAGAATTACTGTACAACAAGCCTAGCGGCTTTGTACAGTAATTCTTGAACCCATTTTCCAAACTAATCGTGGTCCATGATGTTGTGATAATCGTCGCTCTTGACAGTAGAAGTAAAAAAAAATCCTGCTAGCCCCATCGACAAAACCATTTGGTTTTCCTGCGTGAAGACCCCATATTATCGTTTTCTGCATGAAGTTCTTCTTGGATCCTTAAGAGGCGGCCGGAGCAAAATCTCTTATGGGAGTTCCAATGTAAATGTCTACCTCTGTATTTCAAAAACTACTAAAGATATTTTTATGAATTTGGTATCATGTGAAAGAGAATTTTTTTTTCTACATTTTGACTGTTTTAGAATTGCGATAGGTTATCTACAAATTGAAATATAGGTAGAGAAAGTTTGAATAAAAGTGCGCATTTTAAAAAAATACATTTTAAGACGTTTTTCCGAACTTTTAAAACAGTCAAAATGTAGATTGTTGTATATTATAAATATTTATAAATAACACCTCTACAGAGGTAGGACGATTTGGAATCGAAAATCGAGTGAGCACAAGATTATTTACAACCCCCACATAAAAACTAACCGCAAACAATTAGACCCAAATTTACAACCACACCCGCCGACAAGCTGATGACACAGATGTCTTGAATTTGTAAAAGAAAATTTTAGAGATTTTTATAATTGTTTTACAATCAATACCTTTCGCGTAAATGAAAATTATAATTTCACTACAATTGCAAGTTATATAAATGTTTTATAATTTATAATTCATAATTCTCATACATACAGACTACAGAATAATTATTCATTTCAAATAATTCATTTCAATAATTTTTGGTCTGTTTCTACTCTCAAAAAATGGAGTCAAAGTTGGAGAAATTTTACATGAGGGCACTACTTCCGGAAATAATTGATCCAAGAGCGTCCAGAAGTATGCCACTAAGGGAAATTCAATTGAATTAATTAATAAGAATTTTTACTAAATAAATAGTACATTACAAGCGAGGTGGTAAATATGGCATTACCCCGAGTGCTTATGTATACGATCGCGAGGCGCTAGCCTCGAGATCGGATAAAGCACAAGGGGTAATGATATTACCACCGAGGTTTGTATACTTCTCGTCACGATATTTGAACTGTCGTAAATCTTGAGTCGGGTACCCGAATTACTCTTAACAATAAGACATTAGGGTGGTTGTAAATAACAATATCAGTGAGGATAGAATGCGGCAGCACGTCAGAATGGTCCGGACTTAAAAAAATTTGTTAGTATGTAGGTAATTTAAAAAGTTTTATTTCATTCTTTGGTAATGCGGTCAATTCCTTTTTTGATCAGGTCAGTGGTTCCTGTACCAAATGTGGGCACGTTATTATTTCGCCTTAAAAACGATTTCAATTGACTCCAAGCCATTTCGATGGGGTTGAAGATGCAGTGGTAGGGAGGAAGTCGCAAAACTGTGTGACCCGCCTCTTCAGCGACTTTGTCCACCTTAAATTGTTTTTCATAAGTTCGTGACCGCAACACTTCGAGTAATTCTTTTTTAGTGTAACTTGGATGATAATATAAATCCATTTGTTCTAAAAATTTTTGAATTTCTTCTTTGTTTGACGATGAATTTGGAACTTTGTCGTACTGTTCAGAATGATATGACGCATTATCCATTACGATAACACTGTTGGRAGGAAGATTTGGACACAAAGTTTCCGCAAACCACTGTTCGAAAACTTGACCACTCATTTCTTCATGGTAATCRACCCGTGCATCTTTTAGATTTTTAGCAGCCAAGAATAAAACATTGTCCACAAATCCATCAGTCGACCCTGTGTGTAATATTATGACCCTCTTGCCCTTACTTGAAGGATTTTTTAACGTACATTTTGGAGATTTGTCACTCCAACCTTTTTTAGCTGTATCATGGGTATCAAACCATGTTTCGTCTAAATAAAAAATTCGACRATTTTTTTCACGGAAATTTTGAATGTCCTTCAAATACTTCCGGCGCCATTTTTTTATACGATCACTCTCCATTAAAACATTTTGTTTGTTAATTTTCGTGAAAACAAAGCCCATTTTTTTTATGAACCTTCGGAGCGTCGCTTCTGAACAATTCACCACTTCATTTTCTACTAACTTGCAATGTATCATTCGCATTGTTGGAGAAATTTTTTCATCAAAAAAATCATAAATCGTTTTTCTGATCAAATGAGCATGTGTCGTCTCATTTAGACGTAGAGATACTCCCTTGTCCTTCCGAATTTTTCTTTCTTCAATACCATGCGTCACAATACGAAATACGGTGCTGTAGGAACTGTTCGTGAGAGTTGCTGCCTTCTTAATTAAATTAGTCACTGCATTTTCTTTTTCATCTTTTTGCAAATTTTGGAAAACTTGTAGAACAATTTGTTTTTCACCCGTAGTCAAAAATTTATGATTATTTTTGTTCGATGAAGACGGTTCATCTTGAACATCGTTGTGGTCCTCAATTTCTTGATTATTTTCATTTTCATCTTTACCTATGCCAATTAGAGAACACAAAATAAATTAATTTATAATCACAACGAACAAAACTAAATATCGAGACAAACGCGCTGGAGAGCAAAGCCAAAAGTGTCTGAGAAAATGTCAATTTTTTCTTTAAATACCTACGTATGGATTCGTCATCAGTTTACCTCCCTTTACCACCGATAAGAGGACAAAAATAACTCAGTACCAACCTTGTTAATGTTCAAAATAAGGGTTTATTATTATCGTATAATCAAACAAATAAATGTATCATCGGAGTCCACTCTGAAAAACAACAATATAGTCAACAACATAATTATGCATCATTCTTTATTGTTCTTATTGTAGGTACATTTTCTTAAAATACAACATATTGTTTCTTTTTATAATTTTGTAAAATCTTTTATTTAACATAACATTCAAAACTATTGCAAATTGAAAAATTATTGAAGTCCGGACCATTCTGATCTGGTGTCCCAGATGGTGTTTACTGTTGGATTATTTACAACAACCCAAATGTCTCTATTGTTAAGAGTAATTCGGGTACCCGACTTAAGATTTACGACAGTTCAAATATCGTGACGAGAAGTATAAATAACAATATCAGTGAGGATGGAAGCAGCACGTCAGAATGGTCCGGACTTAAAAAAAAATGTTAGGATGTAGGTAATTTAAAAAGTTTTATTTTATTATTTTATTGATATTTATTTAATAAATTATAATAATATGCAATAGAGAAATAAAAAACAGCATCAACATAAAATTTTATTTTTATAATTAATAAATTTTTAATCAGTTTTCGTTATCGCTACTATCACCATTAATTTATATTATAAGTTCATTAACAATTTTTTTTTCTATAAACCTCTTCAATTTCTTTAAGATGCTTGATATAATTAGTCCAGTTTTCTTTGGTAATGCGCTCAATTCCTTTTTAGATCAGGTCAGTGGTTACTGTACCAAATGTGGGCACGTTCTTATTTCGCCTTAAAAACGATTTCAATTGACTCCAAGCCAATTAGATGGGGTTAAAGATGCAGTGGTAGGGAGGAAGCCGCAAAACTGTGTGACCCGCCTCTTTATCGACTTTGTCCACCTTAAATTGTTTTTCATAAGTACGTGTCCTCAACACTTCGAGTAATTCTTTTTTAGTGCAACTTGGATGATATTCCATTTGTTCTAAAAAATTTTGAATTTGTCTTTGTTTGTCGATAAATTTGGAACTTTATCGTACTGTTCAGATTGATATGACACATTATCCATTACAATAACACTGTTGAGAGGAAGATTTGGACACAAAGTTTCCACAAACCACTGGTCGAAAACTTGACCACTCATTTCTTCATGGTAATCAACCCTTGCATCTTTTAGATTTTTAGCAGCTAAAAATAAAACATTGTGCACAAATTCATCAGTCGACTCTGCGTGTAATATTATGACTCTTTTGCCCTACTTGAAGGATTTTTCAACGTACATTTTGGAGATTTGTCACTCCAACCTTTTTTAGCTGTATCATGGGTATCAAACCATGTTTCGTCTGATAATAATGTCCTCCAAATACTTACGGCGTCATTTTTTTTACGCTCACTCTCCATTAAAACATTTTGTTTGTTAATTTTCATGAAAACAAAGCCCATTTTTTTAATGAACCTTCGGAGCGTCGCTTCAGAACAATTCACCATTTCATTTTCTACTAACTTGCAATGTACCATTCGCATTGTTGGATTTACCTATGCCAATTAGACAACACAAAATAACTTAATTTATAATCACAACGAACACTTTCATCAATGTTTCTTCGTTCTCATTTTTTTCATCACTGCCACTCACGTTCGGATCTTCTTTACGCTTTAAAATGTGTCGAATAGTTCTTTCCGAAACACCAATGGCAAGAGTAGTTCTTTTTTTTACAGCAAGCAGTAGTTCCACGGCACCACCATTTTGCTTTTTTTTTTTTTTTCAAAGTACTTTATAAGACTCGGTATTATTTGATAAGTTTTTCTTGAAATCGTTTTTGTTGATTTTGAGGCATTTTGCATACTATGCGAGAATAATCACCACACAAACTCATTCAATGAACAAACCACGAAAGACAATGCATAATCTTAACTTCCATCTTTTATATTCAGGGTTTTTTTCACTTTGAGAGAAGGCTAGATCGTCTAAGAAGTTTTTGACAATCAGCATTTTAGGTAAAGAAACAGGAAATGTTTTAAACCTTTTTTCTAGCGTTTCTACGTGGTTTACTATAATTTGAATAATTGATTCTATAAAATTGTATGTAGTTCGGCACACCTCTTTGTTAATAACTTCTGAAAATATATCTGTTTCGGCATCTTTTTTAAATTTCCTTTTTTTTAATATGTTTTTGCCCCATTGACTTGCACTTTATTTATAATATAGTCGTCGTTTCATTAGTAAAGGACTCTTTGCGCTATTTGGACAGCAGGGGCTATTTTATTTCACCCATACCCGCCGACAGCCGCCGGTGGGGATATTCCCCTATCTTCTAACTGGGGGGGACGCGCCCGATGGGAGTTAAGCTTCTCTACACGGCTTTTTCCACCTTTTATTTATAGCTGATTTAAAACTGTAAATCTCGAATGGTGATGAAAGACTTTCAGCTAAGCATAAACATGAAGGTAGATTTTTTTCAAGCTTTGGTTTCTGAGAAAAAACAACTGACAATTTTCCGTATCATGTAGGAACCTTAGCTCTTGTTGTCGGATTTAATTTATTGTTGACTTTGCTAGTTTATCACTCACCGCAAGAATTTTGTCTATCATGAAATGTTTAGTCGCTGTCTTGTGTATAACTATTTTTTATACAATTCTGCTCCTTGGCCTCATAAAAATTCCTCTTTCAGTGAGCCATCTCTGCAACTTATATAACTTGGAAATTATAACGAATTTTTAAAAATAATGTTTTTTTATTCGAACCGACAGAGATTCGGTATTACAATGTTGCATCTTCTAATACATTACTTCCATTTATATACAAATTTTTTGTACTTTTACTGATAACAGTGATAACTAATTATTTGTATTTATATTTACGTTCCCTTTGAACTCTAACACAACTTCCAAGACGAGTTGGGGCTTGGCTCCACTGGTACATTATGATATGAGGCATTATCTAGGACTAAAACAGACTTTCTTGTTAAAACTCTGTGCACCTCCAGCGTGTAAAATAATTAATAGTTGTCTTTTTGATACTGGTGCATTTGAAACATGATTTGTACCATGATCTCAAGCCAATGGTACAGTGTAAGAACTGTTAAGGTTGGTTTCATCACAGTAAATAATGTCTCTACCTTCTTCTGGTGACAAGCATATACTTCATTTTGCTGTTCGCATAAGCTAATACAAAATCGTCGTCTTCTAGTATATCGTGTTTGTCTCCAATTAAAAAAAAAAAATTGTTGTCATTTGCATTCCACTCTGCCACATTAATTTGAACTGATATGGACTCCGCTTTATTTCGTTTGCCAGTGAGATTATTTTTTCGGCCAAATATTGAATGTTTTTGAAACTTAGTCTGCTTTTTGCATATCTGCTCTTTTTGAAATGGTATTACAAGATACTCCCAGCCGAATTTGTTCAACAATGTCGTTTTTTTTCAGTTTCCGTTAAGGGTTGGCAACGCCTGCCTGTATATAGCCCTCCCAAAAGAGGAAGTCCTCCACATCTGGCAACTTCCTCTAATCTTAATTAATTGGGTGATTATTTCCTCATTACTCAAATTCCGATTCGTCGATCTATGTGACTTTTCCATATAAATTTCATCAATTGTCTTGATCTCCTGTTCGGTGGAGCAGCCCACTGGTATTCGACATCAGTAACGGCAATGTTATGATGCCCATGTATACACAGTACCATCATGTGATGGCATAGCTATTGCACGAACATGAAGCATCCGTAATCTGGCCCTCCTCATCTAAGTTGTAAAATAGTTATGATGTTGTATGTGTAATTTTTTTCATTAATATATTGTATTACTACAACGTTATACGCCAGATCTCGCATGCTGGCATGAATTTCGCTCATTAAAACACCCATTGCTGCGTTGAACATAAACGTCTTTACTAGGTTTGACTCAACTGCTATAAGCCCTTTTTCATCGGCATTTCAAAAAAAAAATGCGTTTGCGCTTAACTTTAGGACGTGCTTGCTTTGCGCCACTATTACGAAAATCTGAAACCACATGCATTGTTAACCTAACCTCACTTTCTTTACTTTGGATTTTATTACAGAAAATTCGATAATATGTAAACACGTTTAGTTTTAATCACCAATACGTACCTATATAAATAATAATAGTAATATCAGAAATCTTCTACTAGACATTGGTGCGCGAAAACATTCCGGTGCTGTACCATCCACAATTCTATAACATTCACATGGTGGCTTTTCTTTACCACAGCCAGATAAAGCATACCTATAAGGGCTCTTATTTCACTGAAGGATCTGTCGCAACAATCCCTGATCGCGGGACTACTCCGGAGAACATTTGGGTTAGCACTGCCCTGGGATAATGAATGCCGAATGCTTACTCAAATCATCTCTATTAATGTAAACTTTCCCAACACCCATATGCATCAATGCTACGACAAACTGAGGAACTGCTCCAGCAAGTCTAGCTAGGGTTATAGTCTTAGCATCAGCTATCTTAGGGTGTTTACTTTTGTAATCTATACCATATGTATCAAATTTGAGAGTGAGTATCTCAACCCATTGAACTTGAGACTTTGCAATTATTTTGCTGTCAACAGTTCCCCGCATAACAAATAGCAACACTAATAAGGATAAATCTAGAATTAAATCCCCCTTGTGTGGGATGGTCAAAATGGTTTTGTCAGAGTCATCTTTAATGTCCGTTGACCCTGTGTTATTTGCTGCAGCTCTACATTTTTTCTCAAATTCCGTCAAGATAACTAGAGGGTTAAACCCTGAGTACTCTATGGTTTTTGCCACTTCTTTTAAATTGGTTTTAAGACTGGATATAGTTAGAGTTTCAAAAGCTGCCTTTGCAATTTCATGACTTTGTGCATCAAATTTCTTCACAAAATCATTTTCTAACCTATCAAAATCGCTCCCAAGTACAGACCTCAAATCAATCCAATTTGTCCTCTTTGTCGGATCCATTTTATTTTTTATTTTTATTTCACTTTTACTTCACTGTTGATTCTCTCCGTCTTTGTGATTGACTCTAAATGTCAATCTCAGCAATAGAAAAAGATTAGGATCCTCTTAAAAAAGTTTTTTAACCTTATTCAAGTCTAAGTTAGCCGCTGATCAGAAGTGCTGAGGAGGAAATAACTATCTGTTCTTAATGAACGAACAGTGATTTAATACAGCTGTTTTGATTGTTACTAGTGTCTCCTCGGTTTGCTCCGAGCATAATAGGCTTCGGCCTCTGCTTATTATAATAATAACTGTCAATGTTTCTAATTCGTAACTGTGGTACACTTTGTTCGGTTGATGTGGTTACACGACTAAAATATGCCACCAGGTTTTGTGATGTATTACAAAGTAATTCCGCCGACACTTGCATCTGGGTGAACTTGAATTTCAAGTGATGGATTATACGTAATAAGTTTTGGTTTGTTAACTTGTTTTGTATTTTCTTTGAAGGGCCAAATAATACACTTCAACTTATACAAGGTTAACAACTTTATTGAGATGTATTACATTGAATAAAATAAAATAAAAATATGCATATAAAAGTCACATCCACACTGTCACGCACACTCCTGTCAGGTCCAGTATCCACGAGAATACCATGTGGCTAAAGAACACTACTTTGGCCCTGGTAGAGGCCGCGGTTGTGTGGTGTCCATCAGGTCTACCTGAAAGGAAAATCTTTCTCATAGGTAGGAGGACACTGCCGTCTTCGCGAGGATTTGGGTTACGTTGAGGACGTTGCTGAACTAGAGGGTTGGATAGATTTGCAGGTCAAGGTTAAGAAAATTTTCGTCTCTAATATGCGAAATTTTAGAATAGTGCATTTTTTATTTCGGCCCAACTTTGGGTGTTTATTAATAGAGCTTCTTCAGCTTTTCGCAAATTTTTGTTGCACGGTTTACTAAATCATTTTGTGGATTGGCAGGCAAGGTTCTGCGAATCCCAATAAGTACTCCCCTAATAAATTAATGTGTTAATACTAAATTTATTTCCTATCAAAAGTGCGAACAAATGGGAAAATTTTGTATCAAGAATAGGCGCTGCTATTATTAGTAGTTATATGCGGGCAATTAGTGCTAATGAGGTCATTAGCTAATGACCGCTACAATTTTCTCTTAATGACCGCTACACTTTCGCCGCTACAATTTTAATGACCGCAGCAGCTTTCCCTTAATTGATTGATTAATTAATTAATTTTTATTTAAAGATAAATGAAACAACAAAAAATAATAATATAAAATTTATTAATAAAGTATAAATTCAATATAAATCCTATCATCGGGGGCCATTACAATTCGTCTAGTGGGGTAATACCGCATTTCCAAGGGACACTGAAATGTGCGAAGGAATGTTATGGGCGACAAAGGTAATTAATAATGAGGTCACTACCTAATGACCGCTACAACTTTCTCTTAATGACCGCTACAATTTTACCTCTTAATGACCGCTACACTTTGTCCGCTACAATTTTACTATATGTCATACAGTATATAAGACTAAAGAAAATTCAAGAAAATATTCAGTGTTGATTTCGTGTTTGTTCTTGAAGAAGACGTCTTGGTGTATTGTGAAAATAAGGTAAGCTTTTAAACAATATTTTAAATATTTACTAAGTTTTGTGAACTGATGTTAGATGCCTGGAAAGCGTGWACCTTCTACACCTTTGAAAAAATCCTCTCCGAAGYGTTTTAAAACACCGAGTGATGGTGGATGTGTAGAAGAAGAAGAAATTAGTGCTTCGCAAGTTACATCTGTTTCGAAGTCGTCTTTGTCAATATTTCCAGCTGCCTTACCCCAACCATCGCAGCCCATAGAATTAGCGAGAATATCTAAAATGGACCTTAAGCAAACTGAACCCCCCAGGTCACCTGAGCCTATCCACACTGAAGAAGACATCATAACTCCAGCTGAATGGTCGGATCCTGTGTTGGAGCGAACATTGGTCGAAATGGCCGACAACATCGAAAAAAATGAAGCTGAAGGAGCTGAGAGAACGGCTCGGATGGTAATCAACGAGAAGTTTCGTTTAATCCATGAAGTGGTATATCCTATTACTAAGTCTGGTAGTAAGCTTTTATCTATTGGGGTAAAACCGCTCCATGATTATGTACCGTTGTTGAAAATTCACAATCCGGAGCTAACATCGGCGATAAGTTTTTCTATTGAAACCTTTGAAGACTTTTTAAAAGAAATGAGCAAGATCTTTGAATCAAGAGAGGAGGAAGAAGTAGAAGGAATTAGTGTTCCAGAAGGTCAGATGTTGTGTATGCTAAGTGGCTACGTCGTGGTGGTTTGTAGATATAATACTCTTCAATTTATACCTAGTCAACCGAGTATGTACAAGGGTATTTATTTATCACTGAATACTATTAAAACTCTCGTAAATATGGGTGAGCATTTATTGAATCTGCTTCATTCAAGGAGAATTCAATATAAGTTCTATCCATGTTACGACAGTTTTATAAATAATGTTGCACTTGATGTTATGGAGAACGGTTGTAAGAATTTATGTCAAAAATTGTTTGATATTATTAAGAATCGGTATGAACAAAATGCAACATTGTATGAGATAGTTTTGAAACTGCCTGTGAATGTAAAAACAGCTGTCGAAGGTAGAGTAAAGTATTATAGAGAAAATAATGATTATAACTGTCTGTGATAATAATAGTAATAAATGATTAAATAAAATGTATATTGTGTTTTCTTTAATAGTCCAATGCGTAGCAAAAGTTATCATTTTGTTTTGGTGTTGTGAAATAGAATGGACTTCAAATCTCGGTTTATTGCTATTATAGCAGGTCCAACTGCTTGTGGAAAAACGCGCTTTATTATTATGCGATTTTAAACCATTTGAATTCTATCTGCGATACGAAATTTGAGCGAGTGTTGTTGTATCAAAATAATGCCATCGATAGTAACCTACAAATAATTGAGCTTCGTCAA